AGAATTAAGCATAAAGGCAGAGCGGCGAGCAGGTGACTCGGAATGGGGCCAGATACAGATACAGGTACAGATGCAGATACATATAGACAAAAGGCAAAGGCAAGTGGAGGAAATCGCAGTCAGTTGCATTCACAGTTGGCAAGTAAGTTCTTGTCTCGAAGATTACACGGGCATTACAAGAAAATTCTTCCGACCAAGTCGAAATTGCAGTTGCAGCGGCTGATGGGGAATTATGCGAGCCGAGTGGTTGAACTTTCCCCGAGTGCTATGTGTAAGGAGGTGGTGCGTTTACTTGTATAAATGGTATTTACACGTAGCGAAAAGTAAAGCAAGATCGAGTTTTAATTGCATCTTGTACAGTACATCTTGGACATCACTCCCATAACTTCCGTCTTTAAATTAATATTCAAATATTCATGATATATACGAAGTTACAAGTTATTATTTCATATAGTGATCATATTACGTATACATTTCTTCATAAACAATGTCGTTCATTACCATTTCTAGGTTATTGCTTAAATGTTATCTTAATTAGTAGAAAATGCACCTGCTTGCTCTTTCCCCATTTTATTTGCTGTGTATGCACTTTGAAATTGATGTTCGTGTGGAGGAGGGCAAAGTGGAGGCGGCCCCAGCATATGTATGTGTGGTTAAAGGGGGACGGGGCAGCCGCAATTGATGTGGCAATATTTGCTGCACCTTGTTGGCTTCCGCCCTCTTCTCACAACCAACACCCCCCGCCCCAACCACACATCTTTTCCTTGCCAGTTTCCTCTCGAGGGAACACGCGTCGTATGCGCAACTTGTGCAGTTTATTGAAAAACTTGCCTAATTTATGGGGCACAGTGCAGAAAGCGGGCGGAACAGGGGACAGACAAGCCGCTCAGGTCTTCCATCTTGTACTTGCTCTTTGACTTTTCTAAGCAATTGTCCGTCCGTCTCTCTGTCCGTCTGTCCGTCTGTCCGTCTGAGTCGGCGACTGACAGGCAATCAAATTATGCAAAGAATGCGCAGTGAAAAGCCGTAAACAACAATTCCGGGGAAACGAACTCGCTCCGTAAACGCAATTGAGTTAAAAGTGAGGCGAAACAATTTAATTGGGGGAAATTTACCCGCTCTGAATTGGAACTGCGATTGGAATTGAATGCAAAACGAATTACCAAAGTGATTTGCCCTGCCCATGGGGTCGAGGCATTTCCATGGGTGATCCATTTAACGAGGAGTTCCTGCAGCACTGCGGCAGGCAGGGTCATGGCCGCCGTCGGACAAGGAGAAATCAAACAGATGTGCGAGCAGCAGGACTCAAGAGAACGCTTAATGGCGCAGTAATCAAAAGTCATTATGTGGCAGGAGCAGCAGCCAAGGACATTGAGCATTCGAGCGTTCTAGCGTTCGAGCCTTCGAGGGGTGGACACAGCAGCCACACACATCCTCCTTCTGCGAGGACGAAAACTTCTCTTTAGCCGCTTACAAAAGGGAAAATTACGCGTATTATGACCACAAGCAGAGCGAGCAGATCGAGGAGGGGGCTACACTGAGCGAAAAAGCGAAATAAAAGATCAAGGTATTATGATACACTCATAATAATGCTATGAAAATGTATATATTACAAATCGTTAGCCATATAATGGGACTCTTTGGCGGAAAGTAAAGTGTACCAATGCTTCCTGGGACCGCTGAAGATTCTGGTTTTTTGATTCGAATAACTGTCTATTTGGTGGCATTTTCTCTCTGTGTAGAAGCCCCCCCTTTGCGGCAGAGTCACGGGAAAAAGGGGCGCGTCTCAAAGGCCCAGCCCTCGTCGGCTTTGCCTCTATTAATTTGTTTGTCGAGCACGGAAACTCAAAATTCGCCACATCATGGTGACCCGCGAATTGGCGAGGGGCTGGGAGCAGACCAGGAGCAGGAGCAGGATTCGCCGAGCAACAGGGATGGCCTTTCAGGTCAGCCAGCCACTCACTAACCCGCGGATTAGGCTCAACTGCACGCACGCTGGCCGGAAAAGCGGAAAATCGGGGGTGTGGTTCGGTCCGTTCTGTCCAGGGGAGGGATACATGCGTGCGGATGCCGGATATCCTGGAACGAGATGCCAGGACACGTGCTGCGGCGCAAGAAACCAGATTAGTGGGGACAGGGCCAAGGAATGGCGTTAGAGAATAACTAAAACAAGAAGCTGTCGCTCTCCAAGTGGATATTAAGCCAAGGGGAGTCACCAACATGAATCATCCCATTAAGGATATTTAAGGTAGCGAAAGCATATGAAAAATCCCCTGAGGAAAAGCTAAAGAATAGTAGAGCAGAAAGAGGCAGCTGGGATCCAGATCCCCAATAACCCCAATTGAAGACAATTCCTAGAATCCGATCAAACATTGGTATTAATCATAATTTACCTTATAGAATCAATTAATTAACTATCAGCAAATGAGTTCAAGGAACTTATCAACTGTGGAAAAGCCCCCATATCTTAGCTGGGATCCAGTTCCATGGAAAATTGATTTGAAATATTGTTTCAACAGAAAGTTTGAATTGTTTTGTAATAAATTGCAAATCACTCAGTGGCCATTTAGGCGGAGGAAACCACATTCTCCACATCCTCCACCCACTGGAAGATTACAGTCCATAGAAGACTCTTCGTCACGGCATCAAGTATAGAACATTATTAAGGGATCCCGGGTGTGGGGTCTTCTCTGTGATTATAATTTCGATTTTCGACTCAGCGCTTGTTTTGTCTTGTTTGTTTACCTGCCCCGGCGATTGAAATAAACTCTCGTGCAATCCTCCCAAAATAGACTGTTGCCTGGCTGGCAAATGGGGGAAATGGGGGAAACTGGAGGAAATCCGAGGGGGCCCCCAAAAAGTGCAAATATAATCAAATTTCTCGCGGGGCACACGACGCAGCGTAGGCGTGCGCCCCATAAGTGGCGCCAACGTCATCGATTCCTCCTCTCACGCGCTTTATTTATTATTCTGGGATGGGTTTTTATCGGGGATCTGTATTCGGTGACTGCGTCATCGATTTGTGGCACCGTGACGTCACATGGATCGCTCAACTGATCGTTGTCCGCCTCCGCTGCCAGCACCTGCCTTCCCCCTTTAACCAATGGGTGGTGGTCAGTGATCAGTGTTTTCCACGAAGAGAATCTCTTGTCGATGATAGACTGGCTGCGTTTTTTTCTGCTCCTCCCTCGGAGGCTTCTTTATTTATTTGTATTTAACGGGAACTGGGAACTGCGCCTTGTTTTATGCCAAAACGCCCCCACATACGTCGAAAAAGAGTGCGAAAGTCTGGCAAAGTTATAGTCCGGTGCTTCCCGGTGGACCCAGTGGACTCGTGTTCGCTCCCGTTTGATGTTTGGGTTCCAATTCCCAGTTTATATATAACGATCCACCGATCGAATAAATTAAGTCTGTATGCTGGGCATTGATGGATAAACACTCAACGGTAGTGCAAATAAACACTAAGCTCTTTGGCACGCAACAAACAAGTGTTTCTTTTGGCCAAAATTCAATTAAAATGCGCAATTCTTTCAAGGCCATTATGATGACAACAAAAACTATCCTGTAGGACCTGTGCCTTTACGATTTTAATGGGGTTTTATAATTACATTTCATACTATACTTACTGATATACCTATCCCCACCATATTTATTAATGGGTAAACCACTCATTCACCCGATGTGCATAATACCTGTGATTACACAGCCGTTTTATGTATCCCAAGTGATGAGGGCAGCTCTCAACAACTGCTGACCTCGGCTAGCCCAATTAAAGCATATTTAATCGATTCCAAAATCCCGGGAAGACGATGTGATGAGCTGTGAACTCGGGGCTTCATCTCGCTCACCTCTGACCCATCAGGGAGGTATTTGTTTTTCAACCCATCGCGATTCCGATTCCGATTTCGCGATTATGAGCTGGAGGTAATGGATGCGTCGAATCTCCCACCCCCAACAACACTGCTCCCCCATCATTCCTGATTGACGTCGACAAATTGTATTAAAATCACGTTAATTGGCATCTCGGGATCTCGGACTATTAACAATTTCATTTTCATTTTCATAAAATTTTACGCCTATCATGTGTCGACGAATTGGTTGGTTGGTGTCTGCACGGAGGAGACTGGACTGGTCTGGTCTGGTCTGGGCCATTGTTTGTTTTCATAAACATATATAACTTATTTTCGAGCACGTCTCTTTGTGAATTAATAAGTTTTCGATCTTCCTCCGTGCTCGCTCGCCTGTGACGCAAAGTAGTAAATTCTGACGCCCATGATATGATGGCCTGCGAATGAACGATTCCCATATGGACTGGACCTGGTGGACCTGGACCTGGTCCAAACCCTATCCAATTGGGGGCAGAATCGGAGGCGGGTCCGAGGAACATCCCCGAGTTCATTCAGCGGTTTCCCGGCCGGTGCAAACCCACAAATCAATTGGGGGCAAACAGACATTATGGCCCACCGTAATCTTCACACCTCGTCCGATGACTATAAAAACACACAATCAACCTTATTGGGTGTGGGAATTTCGGGGCAAACACACACTCGTTAAGAAGCGCGGCAGGATATTTTCGAGTTGAATTCAATTTTTGCGTTTAATTTTTTAATTATTACTCGTTTTGGTGGAAGTTCATTAGGATAGTAATTAATTGTAATTAATCAAAATATTTTAAATGTACAGAAATCTACGAAAATGTATTATAAAGAGTAATCGCTAGACCTCAAATCTATTCAAAAGATTTCAAAAGTGTTCAACAGTATTTATTTCAAACACTTTTTATTGTTTTACTTATTTTAAATATGAGATCCACATGTAAATTATTTACAAACGCTAATACACTAATTTTGTTTATTTAAACTGATTAATTTAAACTTTATAGATTTATTTTTTAGTAATTCTCATAAATTTGATAAAGTCTTCATCTAATAATTTAATAAACAGTTAAAACTTTAATTAAAACTGACTACTTTATATTTATCTTGTAATAATTGTTGCAGTGGCGCCATCAATGGATCAACGTCAGTTTTCAGTACTTCAAGCTAAGACAACAACCGCAGCCTAGAAAACACACCACACATAGCTGTGTAAAACTGTGTAAAATTTGCAGTGGAACATCATAATTCTTGATCCAGAACTCAATTTTTACTCTATGAGCTCGGTAAGTTAACTTAAAGTGGCTTATAATTATCTTATCAAAAATCGACAAAAACAATATAAAATAAAATGTGCATTTTACATCTTACAAATTGACCAAATAATGTTATTTTCTTTTATATATTTACCATGTAAAAACTATCTTACTCTCTCTTACTGTAATTGTATCCGAATCCTACAAGCTGTAATGCAATTAATAATTTAATTTAATGAGAATTGGTAACCAATTAATAGGTTCCCCAGTACTTGGCGCTATTATCTTATCAGTGCAAACAAACAGATGTTTGCAAAATACCTACTGTTATCAGTTGATAAGCAAATACTTCAGTTCAATGCCAATGCCACAATTAGACCAGGTCATAAAGGTAGCCTAGCCCTCTCATGATAATCCATTGCAGTTAATCTAGATGGTGCAAAACAAATACAATAGGAAATATTGAACAGATAAGGAAAACAAAGGATGTTTCCAAGTAGAGATTGCTTTGTTCAATTGGGGTTTGTAGATAGCGTAAAAATAATACAAAAAAACCCCTTAGTCGCTTTAAGTATTTGGAAAATGAATTAATAATAATATTAAATAATTCTCAAATAATAAAAATTAGTATACTATATAACTTTTCCTTCTTTCGGTATATAGTACCGAGAGAGGGTATTCAACTACCTATAATTGTATCTACTACCCGTTTCTGTACATTGCTCTTGGCTCTCTTTCGAGTTGCTCACCACCACCCACGAAACGAAACGAAACGGGAAATGAAACCACAGAGAGCGCTGGAGAAGAGTCGCCGGTAGTGCTATCGATTTAAAATTGTATTAAAAGTAGCTAAAAACAAACAAAAAGCCAAAAATGCACTAATTTTAATTCGGAAGTCTTTCCTATGTTAGTTATTTGTTAGATTAATCAATCTGCATGCTCAATCGATAAAATTTTTAAAAATTCAACATATTAATTTTAAAAATTTTATCGATGTATAAAATTTTGAAAAAATTGCCAAAAAAATGGCATCCTGTTGATGCTGATCAAGAATATATATTGATTATAGGGCTGAAAAAACTCCTTCACATAAACAATTATAAACTTCTGACTGAAATTACAATACCCTGCAAGGGGTTAAAACCCAAGATATAAAGACAAAAACAACGTTCCCGACAAGTGGCTAGAAATTGGCTAGATCTTGCCACAAACTGGTCAAAGCGGCAGCGCTGCTCACCGGTTCGACGCTTTATCAATGCGAAAACAAAAACATTCTAAAATCGAACGCGGCGCGAGGCAAACGTATCTGCCAGATACATTTCGGTCACTAGTTGAGTTTCGTTTGTTTTGTATTTTTCACCCGACGACCATTTGCGTGCGACGTTCGCCTTGGGGCCCAGATAGTTGCGTTGAGTTATTTCCAAGTTTGCATTATTGTAATTAGCCTGCCAGGCAGTTGCCTCGAGCGTCCGCGCGAACGAAATAAAACCTAGAAGAGATAAAAGTAAACCTAAAACGCAGAATAATTGCGCTGGAAGTGGAAATGTGTGCGGCTAAATAGCACTAACGTATAACGTAACGGCTAAATAATAGTAGAAAGTTTTTATTGTTATCTCCTCTTCTCCTACTGCTGGCGAAGCGCATCTGCCAAAAACCAAATAACCAAGGCAGAAGCCTAAACTTGAAATTTTGCGTGTGAATGAAAAAAGAAATCCATTCCTCGGCCCCATCTTCCTCTCCCTCTCTCTCTCTCTCGAGTGTGTGTTTGTGTGTTTTTTGCTTACCAAATTGGTCAATAAACCGGGATAAAGAAGCTACGCAATCAGCGGAATAATAATAATAATAAAACAAAACACAAAAGATGTCCGGCCCGATGCCCGAAATTAGCGAGGAGCAGCGTGCGATTCTGGTTCAGGTGAGAGGCCAAAGCGGGATATTAACCTGGAAATGTACACAGATAAACCTCCATAATGAGCCAATAATTACATACTTTTGGGAATCTTATCTGTAGAATATAATTAGATGTTTCTCAGGCGTAGATATACGAGAAAAATCAATATTTGCCTAGATATTTCGAAACTGATTCCACACAGAACTTGAGCAAGACAAGAAAAGTGGCTCCCTTGGTAGTAATATATAGAATTTATTACGACCTTTACCTGACAGGAGCAGTGCTTTATTTATCGTTTCTTTAATATGCTTACTAAAAATTGGAACGAATTCTATTCCCTTTAGTACATATCTCAAAACGATTTAAAATGAGTAACTTGGTGAATTGATTACAGTTGGTAATTAAATATATCTTTAATGTGGAACCTTCCAAAGTGATTTAAATTCCTTTGTTTTGTATTGCGTACTTGAATCTAGCTTCAATTCGGATTCATGCTTAAAGTATTCTTGAAATCTGAATTGTGTAGGAAATATTACTAACCTTGTGACCTCTTGACTTTGACTTAAATTTGGATTTGCTAGCCGAATTCAGAAAAAGAGAAAGGAAGAAGATTTCTTATATAATTTTTGCAACAGACCAGAGTCTTATATGATGCCCATTGAAAAGTGAAAGGAATCAAGGTATTTGCGATAAAACATATCAGATCGCATTTAAATTAGTAAATTAAATTTCACCAGTTAGCATAGAGATTAAATAAATAAAACGAAAGGAAGCTAACTTCGGGAGGTCAAATTGGAAGGAACACTTAACTTAAGTTTTTAGGATATTAACAAATTGAAGTATTGCTCGTCAACTGGGCATTTGCATCGCTGTGCTTGATTTCCCCATGAGTGGGCAATGTGTAGATCTATCCGATATTCTAAACCAAAACAGAACAGTCATTGTGTGATCAGCGGAGCATTGACTCCACTGGTTATGGAAATCGGCAATTGCTCGCTTGGCTTCCTCTTCGATTATTATTGGCAATGTTTCAACACGGTTTCGGGCGGCCAGAACAGCTGCTGGCCTGCTTATGTGGCCATAGTACTACTTCTATCGGTTGTCAGGGGCGTAGAGACCACTGTACTCACCATACCCAAGTTGGCTAGATCGTTTGACATCCCAAAAATACTTACCAGGTGCAGCAGGTGTTGTCTTAACCCCCAAAACCCCTCCTGAGGCAAACCACTGATGAGGCCAGTTTCTGCAGTTGCGCATTGTTGACTTCTCGTGTGTGTTCTCTCTGGCTGGCATATAGAAAAAAGCAGCTTGCGAAATCGAAAACAAAGCTGAAGTCGACGACTTGTCGTCGATAAAAACCCACAAAGACCAGTTCGTGAATAATATAGATTAAAATAGCCAAATGCGGTTGGGGGAAGTGTAAATCATTGCATATAACTGCGATATTAAGACCGGACCCTTGCCCTTTTTTAATTGCTGCGGAGAGTCGCTAAGTGCACATGTCATTTCATGGCACAATGACTGCGATTACAATTATAAATAAACATGAAGTGGTAACTACAGCGCGGGCAGTTATCCAGAACGGATCCCGACTGGAGCGGACCTTAGACCCCGTAGAAATCTTGCAGTATTTTTGCATAAATTACGAGAGCAACAGGTTTCTTGTCTTGGAAATGCCGAAATAAAGAATTCCGGCCAGTTGCCGCGGAGAAACTTCGTAGAGTTGACCAAGTTAACTGTAAGCTGTTTGCCAGAAGTACATTACAGCATTAAATACCAAGTGCCTTGGCCAAATATAGACTCAATTGTCGATGGCCCATTACCGAGTATTACCGTTTCTGTGTCTCAGTCAAAGTCAGGCCCAGAAATAGAGTCAAAACGAGGAAGTGGGCGCAGCAGAACTACGCGCTAATGGAGCCCACAGTCACATAGTCTCGTAGCCATCACCTGGGGGCCAGTCGGTCGAGGCAGCCTTCTCCGAAGATAATAAGAGCCAGGCGGCCAAGCAGCCAAGTTTGTTGCTAAACGGCGAAAAGCGAAAACTGAATGGCCGAAACTAACATAGGAAAATAAATAAAAGAAGCGGTTGGGTTAGTAAGCCAGCAGAGCGGCCTCGTTATTGAATTTCGAGTGGTTTTGGCTTTAAGCCAGAGCCGAGCTCAGACTTGATCGCTGGCTGGGTGACTCAGCACCTGGCCGATGAGGCAGTCGCAAGTCAATTGAGCGATTGAAACGGCGTTAAATATGCACTTGATCGAATGCAAATCGATATACGTGCTGTTTGCCCAATAAATGAGTTAACAACAAGTTAATAAAAGGCCAGCAAACAAAGGCAGCAGATAAGGTGAAGAAAGGCGAGAGGCTGCTGCTATCAGCTGGCTGACCGCCGATTCAACTTTCGTTCGTGTTAGCAACATCCGATTTTGGCACTCGGACAAGGCCAATTCGAATTAGCAGCAATTAAGACAACAAAGACCGATACGTAGACTGTAAGCTTATCGCCTGGAATGAAAAAATAAACAAGAAATTAATACTGAGACCAGTTGCATTGGCCTTCAACTCAAATAAATTATCGAGACGAATTGGATTATAAATCAGATAAGATGTAAGCGCCTTTAACTGAATCGAGCTGGAATGCGATTAGAGCTCTCTCAGATCTGAAAATAAAAACATTAATGTTGTATCTAAGTAAAAATGTTGGGACATTTTGATCTTTTAAATATTAAAATGTAATTTTGTATTACTTTTTGAAAATTTTAACGATGTAACTTATAAAAATTGGAAAAAAGGCCCAAAAAATTTTGACTGAATTATAATACCATATTTTTAGTAGATATTTATCTTAATTTTTAATACAAAATTTTTAAAGAAACCAAATTTTAAAAAACTCATAACTACGGCAAAAAGGCACTAATTTCAATTCGGAAAGCTTTCCTGTGCTAGTTTTCATTAGGTTAACAAATCTGCATACTCAATTTAAAATGTACAAAAATGACATTTCTTATCACTTTTGAACATTTTAACGCCGTAACCCCTTATAAAAATTGGAAAAAATGGCCACAAAATTTTTCCCTTTTCTGCATGCCTAGAAAGATTTGCCTGTTGATGCTGATCAAGAATATATATGGATTAT